GGCAGATGCCCATTGGTCTAGGGAGATTTCAGTGGAAAGCTCAGTTTCTGAAGAGTGTTTCTATGACGATTGCAGTATGTTCGTCTCGGTTCGGTTACCCTCATCTAGGCGATCGTTCATCTCACCGGTGTACCATTCTGACAGACGCTCGATGTACGTCATGAGGACAGTGCTGTGAAGTGTCATGTGTTCCTTGGTGAGAGCCCTGATTGACCCTGCTGTGGACAATGAAGCAGCGTTCGGGCCCTTTCGGTGATCCCTTACCTTCTCAGCCGAGTCTCTACTCGAGTTTGAATTATCTGAGTCTTTCCTATTGCGTTCTCGAGAAGAATGTTCCGACATTCGAGGGAGAGGAGTTGGGCCCTTTGTCGTCTTGGCCTTGCTGCCTCGCACCTTCTCTTCCATGAATCTAGACACTAAACCACATCAACGGCATCCTCATTCATTCTATTGACGGAAGTTTTATGTGAGTCTGCCATCGGTTTATTGGAGTTATCCGATGACCCCGACTGATGTGAGTGTCAAGTCTTTTCCGGGGAGGTCTTCTTCGAGGACACCATACTAGACCGTGAAGATTCTACCGATTTGATCGAGGCAGATTTTTTCCTTCGGCTTACTTACCTTTGTGCCTCCGTTCGATTTCCTGAGTTCTGTTTGGGCGGTTGATGGGCCCGCTGTGTTGCTTGGAGTAGTCCCACCCATCTTTCCACGTGCCCATTTTTTAAGCCTATTCCATCCAGAAGTCGGAGGGGTTTTTGACCCAACGGGACAAAGCCCGAGAAGGGAGGGAGAGGGGGTGATATCTTTCTTGACTGGTCAGCAAAGGGGTCAGATACGGCTGCAGGACAGCAAGTGTCCATTGCCGAGTGATAGTTCAGTCGACATACGTAACGTAACACCACGGTGTAGCAGCCGAAACCACCTCGACATGATACTCCCCTTTCCTGGGGATCCCGACAATCAGTCTGCGCTTCAGTCGGAACTTGAATTCCGCCAACGGCTCCAAGTCAAAACGAACGTTCCCCAATTCCGGCTCATCCTCAAATTCCTCGAATGGGTGAAGTTTCACCACCCTTCAATTCCTCGAATGGGTGAAGTTTCACCACCCTTCCAAAAAGTTTCTTTCGATCGCAATATGGAGGGGAGCCATCAATTGCATTGGGACCATTCAAACATCGAATACAAATTTTCTTCGGTTTCCCTGTGCTTTTAGAGAACTTCATTTCCTCCAAATCCATCCATGGGAGAAAGGATACATCGTAGGATTTTCCATTTAACTGAATAGAGATTTCTTTTTCCTGACGGAGCCATTCTGCGATTTGGTAGGATTTTCCATTTAACTCAATAGAGATTTCTTTTCCCTGACGGAGCCATTCTGCGATTTCTCTTGTGCTTGCTACATATGTAGCAAGGTTCTTCCCTTCGTTTTGGTGTCGCCACCGTTTGGTATCCAAGTCCACATCCCCGCTATCGTATCAGGAAATTCTCGTAGACGCGAACAAGTTGTTCTTTACCGTCATTAGACAGATTCCCCGCTTCTTGGTCAAATTGGATAGTGACCGCATGGGCTCTCTGAGCCACTCTGTCTGATGGACATCGGAGAAATCTTCATCCAGATCCAAACGGGCGAGATCATCGCCCAGTTCGGTGGTCCCGATGCAGAGGTCCCATGGGAGCAGACTGTCATGAAAACAGGTATCCAACAGTTCCTTGATGTAGACTCTCTCTTCTGCGCTATAGATTCTTTTGGCGTTAGGGTCCGTCCGAGTTTGATATTTCAGTGGCGTACAGGTTAGGAAGATTCGACTCCAAAAAGAAAAAAAGAAAAAAAAAAAGGAAGATTCGACTCCATGTCGAGATGAGTCCAAAACAGACTAAGGATGGTTAAAACAAGTCCAAAGAGAAATCACCAAACCCTATTGCTAATATATAACACGCCAGACTGTTAGTAGGCCTCAATAAATTGAGAACAATATTCAGAGTTTCCATTAGCAACTGCGGGGGGGGGGATTATGGCTTACCCTCTGCTGTCTCCTGCAATGGTAACTCACAGCTCCATTTCTTCTCGACATGGTGTCATGCTTTCCGTCGCCAGAGGGGTAAAAGTGTAGGCGGGGCAATACTTGGAGGCTCCCTGGGAAAGTTTTCCGCCCTGTTCAAGAACTGAACAGTTGTCTACCCGGGAAGGGTACGGGCGTAGCTTTCCAGACCGCCATAGCAAAGCCAGCGCGGGCGGGAGGCGCCCTGTACGCGTCAAAAATTGGCAGCGAGGTAACTTGAATGATTAAGCAGAAGATCTTATTAGAGAACTTGTGAGGGATCGATCGTGCGTCGTCTGCGTGGCTGGCTCCCCATTACCTGCCTCACGGCACTCACAGGGGTACTGATGAGTCCTCGTAGGAGCGAAAACAAGAGGGAAGAGTAGTGACTGCTTGTGTCATTTCCAAGGCTCGAAAATTACAAGGCGGGAAACCAGCAACGGGATCATTACCGTCTTGCCTCGTACACAACGCAACGAGCCCGTGTAATGAACGCATAGTACAGGTTTGTTTTCCGGTCCAGCACTGTCCTCATGAGGCGCGCTCTGATTGGCAGAAGCCGCACACGCGTTGCGAGCCACTGGGTCCTGGATAGGTTTAGGGGGTTACCACGACTTACCAGGTTCAGGGGGTTACCTCAAACGACTTACCAGGTACAGCAAAATATACGGGCAGGTATCAGGAACAGAAAGAAAGGTACACGCAAAAGAGGGGATTAGGCAGAGGAAGGAAATAACAAAAAGAGAGGGGGTACCAGATGCAGAAAATGAGATAATGGATAAAGGACCAAGGTGGAGAGAATGACGAGTCCCTGAATGCTAAACCTTTTGCAGCTGCTGACACACACACACACACACACACACACACACACACACACACACACACACACACGAACGCACAAACACACAAACACACACGAACACACAAACACACACACACACAGAGGTCATACATAGTTTGAACTCGAATAGAATCAGGCAAGTACAACAATGACCGGGTTTAACGGAAGAAAAAAGGTACAAAACTCTGCCATTAAGTTAACATAGACTGTCTTCATTTTTCGTTCGTTTAAAGAGATCGTTTGTGATCGAAATTGATTGATTTTTGGTGTGATTTTCACGACTTTCTTTTGTGTTTCGACAGGGTGGTGTCCCGGAGTGCTGTCTCCAAACAGACATCACCCTAAACCCAAAACACAAAGAAAGTTGTGAAGTACACAGCCGAAAGCAATAATTCATTTTCAACCACGAAGTTGGCACAAACCATTTCGCCCAACGGGGAAAAACAAGGCAGTTTTATCGCAATGGCCGTCACAAGTATTTTTCCAGCGGAGAACAGGACAGTAATCTGACAATTTCTGACGAGAGGAAGGTTGCCCTCTTTCTCTCGTGCTCTCTGCCAGGAGGACCAGCCAAAGAACGACGAGCTGGATAACCGGACGGTTACCTGAAGAGAATGGGTTAGTGCACTGGAAAGGGGAAATGCTTTGTTGGTCTACAGCAGCCAGGGCGTTAAACACATACATAGCACACCTTTCCCACTTCCCAAGCAATTTTGAGATCGACGGTTTGCCGAAGGACTCTCATGACCAGTTGGTTCACCCATGAACCGTTGGTACTCCCAAAAACCGCTCAACCGAAGGACTCTCATGACCAGTGGGATATGGACTTGAGAGTGCGATCTCGATGCACCCAGCTAGATGCACCATGCATGAAACAGAACAGGTCAGAGTTGCTTCGGTCCTCGGGGGCTGGTCAGTCTGACGAAGGCCGTCACCCTGGGGACATAATACATAGCGCTTCTGTCAGAACGGTACACAGGTGAGATGAATGGTCGCCTAGATGAGGGTAACCGAACCGAGACGAACATGTTGCAATCGTCATGGAAACACCCTTTAACTAAACTGAGCTTTCCACTGAAATCTCCCTAGACCAATGGGCATCTCCCCGTTCAGAGGCGATCCCACTCCATGATCTCAAGGTCTTGCACAAATCAGCAAAATATAACAGACGATGATGAAAACGTATGCAAATAAATAAGTACATCAAATACAGAAAACTAGGGAAGAGTCAGGGTTAAGAATACCAAAATGTATTTCGAACTCGGTGTTTCAAATGGAGATAGGCAGTGTTATGCAGTTAGCCAGTGTTTCTAAAAAAAAGGCCGTGGGGTGGGCGGGCGATACTCCGAGCGCTGTTTTCGGCGGCGCTGACGCCCCGCTCGGAACAGCTGTCGTCACCAAGGTACGGTGAATTACTCGTCAACTCCCAGGTATCTTTTTTTTTTTTTTTTTTTTTTTTTTCGCATGTCAACCTGATTGGCGCAGCGGGAATGCTACTCTGGCTTGATCTGTGTATGCTGTCAATTTCCGTGCGAGTCTAGTAGTCCGTCAAGCGAAGTCTGTTCGTATTATAATGGCAGTCAGGATGCGACCCGTGGAACATCCGTCAAAATTGGAACGAACGAAACGGGCCGTGCGCGAGGATGAATCGAACAAAGCGAGAAATGGTCAAAAAAAAAAGAAAGCAAGCCTGGGACCTCCATTTGCTGTTGCCTTTTCTTTTCTCCCCCTTCATAACACCGTACGACAAAAGAGAATCTTCTTTTTATAACGAGTTTTCTGTTGTGTGTATGAAAAGAAAAATAAAACAAAAAAAAAGAGAAATTGTCTGACTGTGCTCAATGCTCAGTAATGCAGGATTTCTTCTCACAAAGAAGTCCATTCACGTCTTAGGTGATCGATAACTTCAAGAATAAGGAAAATTATCGTCAGCACGACGCAGCAGTGACTCAGTGACGAGGCGCGTCCTTGGTGTCGTCATAAACACAATGTCAACCACGTTTAATGGATGAATATGCAGACAGTCGAAACCAGCAGCACAAACTGTCGACGAGTAGAGGGTCCAAAGAACAACAATTCTCAGCGCACAGACTCGGCTCACCCAGGCCACTCGTTGGAGAGTTCAAACAGGGCGCAAGTCCAGAAATCACACAAAACAGAGGGCAGTATTAATTGAGAGAGAGAGAGAGAGAGAGAGAGAGAGAGAGAGAGAGAGAGAGAGAGAGAGAGAGAGAGAGAGAGTGGGGCTGAAAAAGAGAGAACACACGGGGTATAGATATAAATTTGCTCAAGACAGCGGTGTCGAAGAGCACAGCAAAGAAGGTCGTGCCCATGGTGTCAAATATATCCTCTGAGAGGTCGAGAGGCGTTTCCCGAGAGAGACAGTGAGCGAACGAGCTAGCGAGCTTGCGAGAGAGAGAGAGAGAGAGAGAGAGAGAGAGAGAGAGAGAGAGAGAGAGAGAGAGAGAGATTGGTACGACGCCTGCCTGCGGGATGAGGAGCGATTGTTACACTTTTTTCGTTCTAGCCGAAAGATCTGATGCGTGCCCGACATCATCTTAGCTAACAGTCGTTGCTTAAGCATACGAAAGATATACATTTGATGATATACATTTGATGACTAGTGGTACCACCCAGAGCAACCGGCGACCTTGCTAAGCTCGCGAAGCACACATCCCCGCTTGCTCCGACAAAAACCAAGGACCGTCTGCCCTCGCTACTACCCGCTACTCTCTAGAGGACAACGTAACATTACGAAGCGCAGTCTCGACCAGACGAGAAGGACGGTCATCTTCTCTGTGCTTGCCAGAGAAGATCCTCGGAACGACTCCGCCCGGCGGACGACAACCCGTACACGACGAGTGCAGTGACAGCATCATCAGCAGGCCAGCCAGTCGATGTTGAACAGGAGCTTGAATTTCTGATCCGAGGAGTCCAGCGTCATGACGGCCTTCTTTCCATCCACTCGCACCTCCGAGTTGATGTTGAGGTTGGGAGCRTTGTTGCAGTTGCTCCAGATGACCCTCGGCAGCACGTCCGTGAACTCGTAGTTGCCWGTGAACTTGCCCTGGATCGTGCGTGTCGCGTACGACGTCCCAGTYTGTCCYGAAATRTAGTAGCTCGTCTGATAGGTGCCCGTGGAGCTGTAACCAATGTCRGCGAAGCCGCGGCCCGTCACCTTCCCCAGCGTRAAGCTGAACCCGTYGGGATASYTCAAGCCCAGCGAGATCTGGCAGTTCTTCCGCTTGCCCGCCAGCCCAGAGTCCGTCGTGGCAATCATCCCGCCGAACATGAYGGTGAGGACCTTGTAGTTGTTCGACCACGCGTAGTTGGTATTGTCCCAGTTGCAGCCCGAGCCCGCGTAGGTGACAGAGTCGATGGTCACCAACGGAGGCTGCGCTCGTGCGGGGACCGCAACACACACAACCGCGACCAGAASCAAGGCCGCCATAGCCGCAACACCATTCACAGAGCGCGCCATGATCGTGGTCTCAAGCTCCGCAGTCCGCCTCCTCGCCTTTCTACCTTGCGTACAGTTCGTCGCGTCCTCGAATCTCGTGCTCCCTCCCTTCTACCGACCGCACGCGGTGGCTTCGCGCACCCTCCCCAGTCAAGCGGTGGATGAACTCTCCAGTGATGGATGGAACGAATTATCCGAAAGCGGTAAGGATGATGAAAGCCGGATGCTATTGCTGCCGACTACCACCAGTTGAAGCGCTATAAGATAGCCAAGCCAGGAGCTTCGCCTCCTCAAGCTGGGAATGTCGCTGCCGGAGCTGGGGTAATTATCAAAGCGAATGTGACGTGGGGACGGTCAGATGCGCTCAGTTTGCAGGGCGTACCCACCTGAACGAATTACGAAGTACAAGCTTCAAACGCCAGTTGGCTGAATGGTACACCCGACGTCAAAAAAAAAAGAAAAAAAAGTAACAGTGAATAAACAGACAATAACTGCCTCGCCACACCACTCTCAAAATGTGAAAAAGATAAAACTGTGGAGGGTGCCGCGGGCCATGTTCTAGCCGGAAGTTCATTCTCATTTCGCACATTTCGAGAGTGGTGTGGCGATGCCCTAAGTTCGAGTCCTGACAGTGGGAAAGGAAATGAAAAAGATGGGTTTTTTTTTTTTTTTTTTAATGTCCCAAAAACTAATCAAGTACACTGTGGGCGCGGAGGAGTGAGGTCGGAGCGCTAATGTTAGCGCTTATCACGAGCGCGCTTATCACGACCGTTTAGAGCCGCTTCGGCGGCACTTCCCACTTAATCGCGATTAGGGCAAATATAACGCGTCTAACCTTCCCTCCCCACCTCCGCTTCCAGGGAGAGCTGATGATGAAGAAACCCGGATCGGCTCAGGGACCTCTCCCCACCAGGGCAACCATCTCTGAGTACGATGACACTTAACGAGGAAGACAAGTGGGCCATGGAACTGCGGAGTCTTCCTGGGGTAATCTATTTCCTTCTAACCCAAGAGGGGTTGGGTGGATACTACCAGGCTTGTCCCTATTTATTGAGGCTATTCGAAGCAAAGCTAGATTAGGTTACTCTTGGTTTGATGTGTTGTAGATCAAATTCTTCTTAGCCCCGGGATCTTAAACTTTCAAATTCTTTCAAATTTCTATGTAAATTTCTATATGGGACGCTGGGCCGGGTTCCCAACACGTGCTGCCCCCCACGAATAGATTGGAGCCTTGTTTCCATTAAAAAAAAAAAAGAAAAAAAAAAAAGGTTTGATGTGTTGTATAGCTGACTGTGTTTTTCTGTGGTTTGTTTGGTTTGTACCGGTCCGTCCCGCTCACCACCATGATGGCTGACAGAGCAAACCCTGATCCTGCCCTGCGGATGGCACAACTGGAGAAGGATAGGATTAAGGGTATTCTGGCCGAATGTTATACTGAGAGGTGGACCCCACAGGGGAAAATCTTGGAAGAACTCTTCCGCCCGGTGTTCTCTCGGACCCCACAGCCTCTGGAAAAGTGTCTGGAAGTCCTTTTTTTTGTATTTCCGAGACCCCACCGCCCGGAAAAGTGGCGCCTGGAAAAGAGAAGAGAGAGTTTCCAAGTCCTTTTCCGGGTGGATATGAGCCTCGCCGAAATTTTGTGGCAAACGCAGGGGGTAGGGGGGGGGCATCCCCCTACGTTTTCCAGACTTGAAGATCGCGCAGGTCCATTTTGTGTCCGCATGGTGCTCCCCAGCCGAAGGTAGGACGGGCGGACGGACGAAGCCGCTGTCACACGATCGGGGCGGGACAAACGGGACAGGTACCATGGAACCAGGGCCTGCGAAACGGCATTCAGCTGCCGAATTTGAAATTCGAAATTTCGAATGCCTTGGGGTGCATCTGCGGTGCCTTCAGGGGCAAACACGAAGCTGTCTACACTGCACAGACATCGCGCATATGCATGCCATGCATGGCAATCCCATGCAGCTGTCTATCACGTCCTCCATCCTCGTGCACGTGGCCGTCCTCCATAGCCCCGGCTACGCTTCTTCGACGTGCTCCGCGCCGTCTTTCCCTATGTTCAGGCTCGGCAGAGTCCTCCAAGGTCCGTGCTTGTTCCGTGTTCCTCGCCGAAGCATGCGAGAACGGGCATGAGGTACGGTGGTGAGGGGTTCGTATTGCGAGCGGCCGCACTCGTCGTCCGCCACTTCCTCGCAGCGCATAGCACGCCGAGGCAATCAGGACTCCATCAACCGACGCCTGTCCTGCTCGCCAGCGTATCGCCACACCTCAGCGGCCGGCGCTGTGGCTAGGGTCCGTGTTCCTCCTCTGCCCGTTTGGCCGAATCCGCATCCATGGTTGTTGGCAAATGTGAGTGGCCAGACAGGGCGAGGAACGGTGGCCGTTCCACGTCATCCACTGGTAATCAGCAGACATCGCCAGCCTACCGCCATCCCTTCAGGTGCGCAGTCATCTACTGCGGTGGAAGACCGGCTTCGGCAGTTCACCGCTACGTGCAACGGAGCAGGTGCACAGCCGAATGTGATCGTCGTTTGCTGCGGGGGGCACGTACAACATTTCCTGTTGTGTGCAGCGCTCACATTTTTTATCGTGATAGTTGTGTGCGTATTTTTTTTTGTGATCGTTGTCGCTATTCTCTGCGCTGCCGCTGTCCTCATCACGTACGTTCTCGCAAAGCGGAGGCTTTGAGAGGGACCTGCACATCCTGTGCACCGTCGACGTACTTCTCGCCATGGAAGGCCGCAGATTCACAGCCGAGCTCATGGGCGGTTATGAGGGGGCGATAAGCATAGAGGATGCGAGACTGGAGCACACGAGAGGTGTGGTGGGCGTTGGTGGTCCCGGGTTCCCTGGATGGAGTCAAGATTGTGGCAGGAAGTCGCCGACGGAGAGAGGTGTCGGGCAACGGGTAGATGCCACACATCCGTGGACGTTTGGTGGGATGGACATGCCCGGTACTGGCGGGGGGCAGCAAGGGTTTTATGGCGTGGAATCGGACCCCGCAGGTGGCAATCTGCAAGGAGTGGTGCCACGTGGCAGTGTAGGGGACGGGTACGGCGAAGACGCTGTCCATCATACTTCGAGGGTGGATGCCAGTCTCCCACAGTTCGACATCAATTCGAAGGGGTGCGGTGCATGGGGAGGAGGACAGCCACAGCGTCGATCGCTCGGAGTGCAGCACACGCCGTACATTGCACACCAACCTCGACTGTCGATGGCAGATCGGCAGCATGGCCATCCTGCAGACAATTTCAACCGCCAAATGTCGCACCTTCGTCGTGGTCAGCAAACGCCGTGCACACCTGGCAGTGCGCCGACAGGAGGAAGAGTTGACGACTTGTCTCCTGCACGGCGCATGGCGTCCGCATCGGGGCATTCCGGGATGTGGGATGGAATGCCGTCACCGATGGGATCATCCATCGGAGGGGGGTCACGACAGATGACCGGGGATGTCGGGCCGTATGATACAGGGCGAGGAACGGTGCGTGGCAAACAGCACCTCCCTTCACCGCCTCTCCACCGGCCTGTCACGACAGACGAGGGGGGTTCTTCTCGCACTTTCCCTGACAACGAAGGACCGGCATCAGGTGGTGCTTCCGCTGATGGGCCGACTGTCTTGAGACGAACACAGTGCGTGGCAGACAACGGGCCCACAAAGCCCCTCGTCCGGAAACACCAAAAAAACACACACCTTGGTCCTTGGAGGAACGCATGTGCCTTGCGAAGATCTGCGGGGAGGACGATGCTTTGATGGCAGATGCAAACGTTCCTCACAGCACATGACACGGGGGAGAAGGTACGAGTGGATCAGCGACGGCATGCGTGATGCGGGATACAACCGGACACCTGAGGACTGCAGGAAGAAGTGGACAAAGATGAAGGACACTATGAACCTCATCTCCAAAAAGTGCGACCGTTCTGGGCAGGCTGGGTACTACAACATGATTGCAGATGAAAGGAGGGAGAAGGGGGTTCCGCTTACCTTCGAACGCTCTCTGTGGGACGCCATGGAATGGTGGAGGGTGAAGGCTTCATTCAAATGCAACCACACACTTGCATCGGAGGAGATGGATGTACCTGAGTCCGGGGGGGTGAATGAAGAGGCGGGCGGGCCCGATCGTGCCGGCGAGGCGGCATCCGAGGGTGGCGGCACTGATGCTTTGGATTACAGTGCGAAGACACGGCGAACATCGGCGGGCAGGGTTCGCGGAGACGGTTCGCCGGCGACGGCGGGGATGAGGGTGATCATGGAGGAATCGACGAGGGCTATTGTGGATGGGCTGGATAAAGCCTCCGGGACGCTGGCACGTGCGACGACGGAAGGGGCTTCGATGCTCTCCTCCCGGGTTGGCGACATCGCACAACAGATAGGCGTCGTTGCCGGGGCTATGCAGGAAGGGAACGTCGTTATGGCCAGCCTTAAGGCGGTTATGGCGTCCAGGTGCACATCATCGCAACGGCCCACATGATGAACAGCGGGGATGTAGATGCAGAGCCGAAATGATCGGCGTGCTGTCGCGTGGCATTTGTTTGGATGGATTTGCATATGCCATGGCC